AAACAGGCCCATTGAATTGCTAAATTCTGAGTATTAGCCAGACATAAGTAAATGCTTCAGCAAACAGAAACTTAAATCTCCCAAAAAAAGGGAAAGACAATGAATATCTAGTTCCTGCTATCAGGAAGCAAACCAATTTTGCTAACAATTTCCCTGTCTAGAGAGTTGATTGCTAGCTTACTGTACAAATGCGAAGCCAAACTGCCTTTACTCATATACACATAGACAAGCATGTGCTGTCCCTTTTCTGCACAGTATCCTAACAAATTCACAAGGTTTCTATGATGCAACCTTCCCAGTAACATAACCTGCAATCAATAAGAAGGAGAAAGGTTATGATTGTTAGAAACCACACTTAAAGCAAGGAAAAATTCTCAGATACAATCAATTAAAGCTTATTCAAACCAATGATGACAGAGGCACAAAAAGAAAAAATCTCCTTTGTGAACTGAGGACATTTTTGGTGGATGACTTTGGTTGACTGATTTTGAAGAGTCAAATTTCCCAACCTGAATCCATCAGTCTAACTGGTGGAAATTTTAAAATGTTCCTATGAAGTTTTCATCTCTGGTTTACTTCCTGCATTTCATCAAATTCCAACTCCATTGTTGTATCAACCAAATTTCTAACCAAAAACATGTCCCAAGAAGCAAGCATCACCTGTCCTGTTTACTCTGATTGTTTAAATAGTCTTCTCTCTTAATTACTTTCCTTTTTAGCCAATAGAACAGAGATGTATTTTTGAGGAAAGTTGGGAAGAATATATTACACAAACTTGTCAATAACTACCTCCCAAGTCATGCAAAGGCAGATTAGAAACAGTACTACCAATGTAGTTATACCCTGGCACCAAAAATGCTACTATTGAATTGAACAAAGCAAGGCAAGTTTTTATAGAATATTTGCGGCAACATACCTACAAAAGCAAAATTTAAGCTATTAACCATCATTACCTCAGTCTGGAACTCCTTCTCCCCCTGCTTTGAATCAGTCGCAAGCACTTTAACGGCAACAACCTCACCAGTTGACATCTGAGCTTTGTAAACAGGACCAAATGCTCCATGTCCTATCAGTGTTGTAAAATTATATGTTGCCCTTTGCAAATCCCTATAGGAGTACCACCAAAATCAGAATAAACAAAGAAAAAAGTGAAAAGAGGTCCAAAGGCATTTGTACATCCAAGCTACAGACGACAGACCACTCAATAATACAATTTTGCTTCACTTCTATACTAAGAATTGTGTGCTGAGCTAAGACCCATGAATAGATTCAAGCTATCATCGTGATTATTAAGATAATTATCATCTTTTAGTCTGCCTAATCAAAATTTTAACCATTTTGTTTTCTACTCAGGGAGAGAGGGACACACAACTATAACGCATAGTTAGATTTGGATTAGTGGAACATATCTTATAGGGATAAATTCCTGTGCAAATTAAATCATTAATCATAACAATAATCAAACCAGATTTTCAGTAGGACACTTAAATATTCAAATCTTCATCATGAGCAAAACTATGTGAAATTATTTGCCAAACATCCACTCAAAAATCAACTGTGGTTGTGCCTTAGTGCATCTGGTTCTAATTAAATGAAGCTTACTTGTAAGAGTACTCTGGTATTCCAGACACAGAGACTACGTTACTCCTCCTAAACCCGTCAAGCGACACCGTCAAGCCATGTCGTCCAGCTTTCACTGGTGAGTCCGGGCCAATTGTGGAGTCTGATAATATAGAACAGGCGTCAACGCCATTTGTGCGAATAGGAAGAGCTGCAGACCTTCTAGAACTGCTATTCCCTATCTGAGATCGCTTCCTGTGATATCTAAGGCATAAAAATGCAACAATAGCCAAAAGTACTCCTATCACCACTCCTATGGAAATCCCAATGATCAACCCAGAGGACTCCCCTCCCATCTCTGCACCTTGCTATCAGCTACTCAAGCCTACAATCCATCAAAAAACCTGCAACAAAATTCTGGGTCAATCATAGGTAATTCTATTCCTATTATATTACATAATTTACGGGTCAAATAAACCCTGCCAATTGTTCCAATGGAAATGTTCAAATTGATAATAGAATGTCAATTTTAGCAAATTCATCAGAAAATTCATACAAATGGAAGAAGTCAAAATAGAAAAATGATAAAAAGACAAATATGCAAAATAAGCAAAACAACAATTTAGGTCTCCATTTGAATAGTCTCCTTCTTCTAGTGAAACCGGTTCAACATTTTTTTGGCCAACAAACCGGTTCAACATCACTTTTCCATTATTCAACTAAACCAGAACGTAGTTTTGTCCTTTGATTAATTTCTTTCTAAGCAAGAAATTTTGGTTACTCACACTCCACTAATATAGAGATTAAGCAAGAATCAAGAAAGAAATCATAATCGGACTTGAGATCTGTTTTGTTAACGAGAAAACACAGGAAAAAAAAAAAAAAAAAAAATCAAAAAAGAAAACCCAAAAAAAAAAAAAAAAAAAAAAACTGTTTACACTTTCTATTTCCTCTTCTCTTTCTCCTCTCCATCCAAGTCTTATCTTCCCTCAGTTTTCTTACGAAACAAACAGAAAGCATCAAAACACAGTGCGAAATAAAGAAACGAGAAAAAAAAAAACTCAAACAAAATGAAATTCTCAGATGAGAAAGCGAAAATGAAACGAACTCGAAACTAAGAAATTAGAATCCGAAACTAGTTGCAACACTGCTTTGACGAAGAAACTAGCATTACCTTTGAAGTTACCTGACAGAATTCACCGGAGCACGCGGCTGCGACAGTTTCAGTTTTCCTCCAAGCAACGGAAGACCAAAACTGCCGTTCCGAACAAGGAAGAAGAAGAGATTGGAGAGGTTTTGAGTGAGATTCAGAGAAAGAATCGGAAAGTTGGAGAGACTTAGAGGATCATCTGGTTCAAGAGAAAACAAAAAGAAAAGTGAAAATGGGAGTATAGTATCTAAGAAGAGAATTGAAAATAGGCTTTTGATTTTTGTTTTTGTTTTTTGTTTTTGTTTTTTTGTTTGTCAATATTTTTAAATTCCGTGAGGCACCGTTTCGTGTAAATAAAACGCGCGGAGATGGATAATGAAATCATGAAATAGAGAGAGAATCTTTGTTGTGTTTCCCATCACGGCCTTGGTTTGTGCGTATTATTACGGATGTGTCTCTTTCGTTGGGATGTGGCGACTTTGGAAAGGAAAATTGAATTTGTTTTCTTCATTAACCACTCACGAATTTGTAGCTCAAATTTTTTTAAAAATTATAATAAATTTTTTTAAAAATTATTTGTTTTATTTATTTTTGGTAATTTTAATTTAATTTGTTTAATTTTTAAATATAAATTTTAAATAAAATTTTAATAATTTATGCAAATAATAATTAAAAAGATTTTAAAATAATTTTCAATAAATATTTTTATTTAATAAAAAATTAATTATTATTTATATAATATATTAAATTTTTATATAAAATCTATATTAAAACTCAAAAAATTAAATTAAGGCTATTAAAATAAGGAAAAAGAGAAAATTAAAATATTTTGACATTAAAAATGTTAGATGTCTAATAATAATTATCTGATAAATTTGATAAAATTAAGATTTATATCATTACTCATACATTTAATAATTGTAATTTGATATCTTAATATTTTTAATATTAGAACGTTCTAATTTTTCCCTTTTCTTTTCATAAAATAAACAAAAAAATAATAACACAACTATATGTTGTATATTGTACATCATATAAGTTGATGATTATAAAAAATCTAGTTGTAACCTCACCTTGAGTAGAGGTGATATAAACTGTAACTAAAATTTATATAGCAATTATGTAATAATATGTAAATAATTTATTTGTAATACAATTCTTTTCCCCCAATAGAACCTTTTTTATTTACCAATTCATATGTAAATAATAATTAGTATTCACCTTCTTTTTTTTTGTACTATCTACCCTTGAAGTATAGAAAACTATAAAAAGTAGACATTATGTTTAATATTAGTGTTAAGTAAATAATTTTAATTATATAATTGATAAATTTAAAATAAATTTTTATATTTTATTTAAATTAATTATAAAAAAAGTGAAATTAAAAAGCAAAACCTTACATTAAAATCCTTAAACTTACCTTAGGTTCTTGATTAAAACCCATAAACTTTTATTAAAACAAATAAGTCCATAAACTTAGTAATATGAGTAACTTAACACTATTTTTTTATATTGTAAACTTAAGTCCATTTATGCCTTACTTGCATAAATAATGTATTAACTGTATCATTGCCATCATCGCGCATGTTGTGAGTATTGACCTTATTAATGCAAATTAGGCATAAAAAGACATTAAGTTTATTTTACAAAAAAAAAAAGTTAAATTACTTAAAT